GTCAGCTAAGGTGAAGGGAAAGGTTTACAGGACAGTGGTGAGACCAGCCATGATGTATGGTTTAGAGACAGTAGCAATAGGCAGAAGACAGGAGGAGGAGCTGGAGGTGGCAGAGTTAAAGATGCTAAGATTCTCTTTAGGAGTGACAAGAATGGACAGGGTCAGGAATGAGGTCATTAGAGGGACAACACAGACAGGAAGGTTTGGAGAAAAAGCTAGAGAAGCCAGATTGAGATGGTTTGGACATGTGCAGAGGAGGGACAGTGGATACATTGGTAGAAGAATGTTAGAGATGGAGCTACCAGGTAGGAGAAAGAGAGGAAGGCCAAAGAGGAGATATATGGATACAGTGAGGGAGGACATGCAGATAGTTGGAGTCAGAGTAGAAGATGCAGAGAACAGAGATGGAAATCAATGATTTGCTGTGGCAACCCCTGAAAAAAAAGGGACAAAGCCGAAAGAAAAAGCTCTAACATAAATTAAAACTATGGTTTGTGTATGAAAGGCAGAGTGATTTTAGTAAGACCTTTTTAGATTTGACATCTGATGAAATAAAAAATTAATTTCTATAACAAAATTAATTTTAATGATTCAAAAATGACAGGCAGAATGGGTAAAAACTCATAAAAAAATACAATTTTACCGTTTTTTCTGCATCACCTATCATCTTTTTAATTTTTTTAAAAATGTGTCTGTGTTTCCAGGTGGACCGTGTGAGTTACCTTTTACAGGAGATTTATGGCATTGAGAACAAAAACAACCAAGAGACCAAGGTATGAGCCATAATCTTACTTCCTTCTGAGCACAGGTTGCTGTAGAGTTTCATTTTTATCTGCTAACATTGGTGTGATTTTATTTTTTATTCTGTTTGTTTTTTCTAGCCGTCAGACGATGAGAACAGTGACAACAGCAATGAATGCGTCGTCTGCCTCTCAGACCTGCGGGACACACTGATCCTGCCGTGCAGGCATCTGTGTCTCTGCAATTCCTGCGCAGACACCTTACGTTATCAGGCCAACAACTGTCCTATCTGCAGGCTACGTAAGAAGCGTTGTATTCATTGCATAATGATAATGGCTTCATGGCCGTGTTGGGATTGACCCGTTACTCCTGTGTCCAGCTTTTAGAGCACTTCTGCAGATCAGAGCTGTGAGAAAGAAACCCGGTGCTCTGTCTCCTGTGTCCTTCAGCCCTGTCCTTGCTCAGACGATGGATCATGACGAACATTCAGTAAGTCAGTGATCTAAAAATAAATACACTGCGATGACTTTGTATCGTTGGCAATGTCACCTTTCATCCTGGTGAAGTTCCACATCAGAATACACTGTTAAAATTATTCTTAATATTTTAAAGGTAACCAATTATTAAAGATGAAAATTTAAAAAATGTTATCTAAAAAAGTAAGCAGACACAAGAGAACTTTTGCTTAAATAAAATTGGCTTATTTTCAGCTGAGCTTAATGAAAAATATCATCTTGGGGACACCAAGGTGCAGTAGGTCACGAGTTAAAATCCTTCTTAATTCCAACTTTGATTCTTTTATGTAATTTTCTCATTCTCAGCTAAAGGTAACCTTCATTTTACAGTTTTATATCCATAGAAAAAACGTTTTAAATATCACCAGGGAAGCCTTAATAATGATTGTGATCAGTTGTTAACTACTTATATAATGTAATTGATACACGTGTATATTTCTTTCTGCAGAGCACAGACTCCGTTCCTCCTGGCTTCGAGCCCATCTCGCTCCTCGAGGCGCTGAACGGTCAGCGGTCCGTGTCCCCCGCCATCCCCTCCGCCCCGCTGTATGATGAAATCAACTTCTCTGGAGGTATAGGTGGTGAGAGCAGGCAGCTGAGCTCCCCCGAGCATCTGAGCGACGGGAGCCTGCAGAAGAGCAAAGTCAGCAAATCCCCCGACAGGTAATACTGCAGCAATCGCATTTACATACAAAATATTGCCGGGTTAGAAGAGCTTTACACAAGTACTGTATAGGAAATCACTCTTCGACAGAGACTTCGTCTGAAGTAGCAGTCAGTCACTGACGACGATGAAAGTGGTCGGAGGAATGTAGTTCTGCTTCGCCGTTTACCCACAATTTTTTAAAGATGGAAGTCTTCATGGTTTAGCTGTTATCAAAAACTTAAGATGGAAGTCTTCATGGTTTAGCTGTCAATCTGGCTATTTGTTAATTATTATCAAAAACTTGGTGGTTGTCTGTGTAAACAACATACAGTGTTTCTCACAGTATTTTAGGAGCGTATGGCGGGGGGAGAAACGGAGGTGAAAGCCAGGCTATCTCACCTTTACGGATTTTATTAAAAACACTGTAGTCTCCTATCGCTCTTCGAGAGAGCGTTTTATGATGTGTAAAACAGCGCCCCTGTAGTACAGTGGTACCTCGAGATACGAGCTGCCCGAAATAAGATTTTTTTCGAGTTACGAGTAAGCAACTTTTGCAAGATTTTTCCTCAGAAACGTCGAAAATCACGCGCGTACAGGTTTATCCACGCTTTCCACCTGATCCCAGGTCAGGAGCCAAGCTCCGTCCTCTGTTGTTACCCTCATTAAGAAAAAGAAAATGGGTGACGAGTGACAGAGTTTAACTTTTATTGTTTAATAGAACAAAAATATATAGATAAATAAAAATAAATCTTCTACACTTAGTGGCCCCGATACTCTATCGCTCACTGTCCCTCGCTGGGTTTTTTTACCCATTTATATAACAATAATTTAAAATGTTTTCTTAATTATTATTATTTTATATAATCAATACATTGTTTATTTCTGTTTTTGATGTTTATGTGGGCTTAATTAAATTAATTAATTGTATATTTCTGGAGGGCTGGAACGAATGAATTGGTTTTTAGTTATTTTTAATGGTGAAAATTCGATCGCTGGTGTAGAACGGATTAGACTTGTATCTCAAGGTACCACTGTATTACATGGTGAATGAGTGTACTGCACTTTGTTGTCTGTGTTCCTCGGTGGGTTTCCCCATGCCACGAGACTACGGTGGTCCGCCACAGTCTCGACAAGTAATGGGAAACACTGTTACATACTTTTATTTTATTGTGACTTTACAGTGGTACCTTTATGCAGTCATTCTCTTTGTGTTCAGCAACTCATGCTACCATTTATGTATGTGGTTGTGCTGAAACTGGAAACAGGAACTCAAATACATACTTTAGATTTTAGACATATAACGTTTCCCTATACAGCAGACTCCTAATCCAATCATTTCTGTTTTCTCCTCCTCTCTTTATCCGCAGCACCCTAAGGTCTCCGTCATCTCCCATCCAGGAGGAGGACGAGGAGAAGCTGTCCGAGATGTCCGATGCTCAGCCGCATACCATGCTCTCCAGCAGCCCAGCCCCTACGGACGTAAGCCATCACTTCCTGTTGATACTCCGACCCTGCTCCAGACCCAAATGTGAGAATTCTAAAAAAAACTTCTGTTCTGTTCCAGGCCACAGCAACAGAGGATGTGGCCGAGTCCCTGTCTCCAGACGATGGTAAGGTTTTCCCCTCAGTTGATATTTTTAACATAAGTGAGTGAGTGATTCTGTGTGACACTGCAATTTTTGCTTTTCTTTTATGTGGTCCAGAGGACAGAATGCATTCTGGGGGAGACATTCTGCAGGACTGTGACAGCGAGCACAGCTGCTTGACCAAAACGGAGAGCGACCCACCAGGTGACCTGTCACTACCAGGTGAGAAAACTCTTTTCATAGTTCATTGAAACACTCTCCACAACTAGCTGCACGTCTGTCGGCCAGTGTTTCAATGTTTCACTCTTGGGTTTTAAGATCAACAATATCAGTAGTTTGCAGCAATTTATACATTAGTTACTGTACAAGTAATTTAACAGGCAAGACTTTAACGCCGAATATGTTTTTTTCTCATTCACTGCACAGTGGGGGAGATAAGGAGTTAGAAATCACTGTGTTTTTTTCGAGATATCACAGCAGGTACATAAAAATAGTGCTTCACAGTTTAATCTTATTTAATTTATTTCACATTTATTGAAACTCAAGGCAAAAGTATTGGTATTTGTATGCACTGTCATCAGGTACACAAATAGGAATAATGAAATCAAAAACTAGAAATATAAAATTATATATATTTTTTTATTTCATACATGTATTTACAGTATACATAAAGGTACCTGCAGCTCCATAATCATGCTTTTCTTACGTTACGTTTCTTAACGTTACTGTTCTTCTTGAACTCGAAAATGTGTCGTTCCCCGTGCTCTGCCTTCAACCTGAGTGCTGTTCTGCTTCTCTCTGTTTCCATCACTGCTCTCCTGTTCCCTGTCCACCTGTATGTCTTCATGCCTCTTCATAACGGCCAGCTCTAGGTCCTGATTCCTGCTCTATTGGTATGGAGGAATAACCCTGGTATGTTGGCTCTTCTCTCTGCTCTGCTTCCTCATTGTATGGGCTCGACTGCCCCCTGTTGTTGATGTTCGACTGTTGTTTCTCTCAACGCACATAGGAAAAAGACATTGGATTAGATTCAACTTTATTGATCCCACACGGGGGAAAATTGGAAAAGTCCATGTATTTAGACATACAACAGCAAGGAGCTCAAAATGATGATATGATAAATATGTAAGAGTTGTATTTAACTATTTACATGTGTGTATATATATACATGTATATGTATGTATATATATACACACATATGTATATATATATACATATGTGTATATATATACACATATATACATGTATATATATATACATATATGTATACATGTGTATATATATACATGTATATATGTACATGTATATATACATGTATATATATATATACACATATATACATGTATATATACATGTATATATGTATATACAGTATATATATACACGTATATGTGTGTGTATATATACGTATGTATGTGTATATATACACATGTATATATGTATATACAGTATATATATATATATACACACACATGTAAATAGATAAATACAACTCTTACATATTTATAATATCATCATTTTGAGCTCCTTGCTGTTGTATGTCTAAATACATGGACTTTTCCAATTTTCCCCCGTGTGGGATCAATAAAGTTGAATCTAATCCAATGTCTTTTTCCTATGTGCGTTGAGAGAAACAACAGTCGAACATCAACATATACATACATATATATATATATATATACATAAGTATATATATACATATATCTATATATATATATATATATGTATGTATATGTTGATGTTCGACTGTTGCTTCTATCAACGCACATAGGAAAAAGACATTGGATTAGATTCAACTTTATTGATCCCACACGGGGGAAAATTGGAAAAGTCCATGTATTTAGACATGCAACAGCAAGGAGCTCAAAATGATGATATTATAAATATGTAAGAGTTGTATTTAACTATTTACATGTGTGTGTATATATATACATATATATACATGTACATATATACATGTATATATATATACACATGTAAATATATATGTATATGTAAATATACATGAATATATATGTATATATGTGTATATATATATATATACACATGTAAATATATATGTATATGTAAATATACATGAATATATATGTATATATGTGTATATATATATATATACTGTATATACATATATACATGTATATATGTATATACAGTATATATATACACGTATATGTGTGTGTATATATACGTATGTATGTGTATATATACACATGTATGTGTATATATATACATGTATATATGTATATACAGTATATATATACACGTATATGTGTGTGTATATATACGTATGTATGTGTATATATACACATGTATGTGTATATATACACATGTATGTGTATATATACACATGTATGTGTATATATACACATGTATATAAATACACATGTATATATATACATACATGTATATATATATACATACATGTATATATATACACACACATGTATATATATATATATATATATATGTATGTATATGTTGATGTTCGACTGTTGTTTCTCTCAACGCACATAGGAAAAAGACATTGGATTAGATTCAACTTTATTGATCCCACACGGGGGAAAATTGGAAAAGTCCATGTATTTAGACATACAACAGCAAGGAGCTCAAAATGATGCTATGCTAAATATGTAAGAGTTGTATTTAACTATTTACATGTGTATATATATATATGTGTGTGTATATATACGTATGTATGTGTATATATACACATGTATGTGTATATATATACACATATGTATATATATATATACACACATGTAAATATATATGTATATGTAAATATACATGAATATATATGTATATATGTGTATATATATATATACATATATGTATACATGTGTATATATATATATGTGTGTGTATATATACGTATGTATGTGTATATATACACATGTATGTGTATATATATACATGTGTGTATATATATACATGTATATATGTATATATATACACATGTATATATATACACACACATGTATATATATACACATGTATATAAATACACATGTATATATATACACACATGTAAATATATATGTATATGTAAATATACATGAATATATATGTATATATGTGTATATATATATACACACGTATATATGTATATATATACACACATGTAAATATATATGTATATGTAAATATACATGAATATATATCTATATATGTGTGTATATATATACATACATGTATATATATATACATATATGTATACATGTGTATATATATACATATATACATGTGTATATATATATATGTGTGTGTATATATACGTATGTATGTGTATATATACACATGTATGTGTATATATACACATGTATATGTATATATATACATGTATATGTATGTATATATATACACACATATATATATATACACATGTGTATATATATATATGTGTGTGTATATATACGTATGTATGTGTATATATACACATGTATATGTATATATATACATGTATGTATATATATACACACATGTAAATATATATGTATATGTAAATATACATGAATATATATGTATATATGTGTATATATATATACACATGTATATGTATATATATGTATATATATACATGTATGTATATATATACATGTATATGTATATATATACACACATGTATATATGTATATACAGTATATATATATATATACACACATATATACATATATATTCATGTATATTTACATATACATATATATTTACATGTGTGTATATATATATACATACATGTATATATATATACATGTAAATACATATCTATATATATTTACATATATACATATTTACATATATACACATATATATATAGTTAAATACAAATCTTACATATTTAGCATAGCATCATTATAGTGCTTTACAAGTCAATAAGTGCTGTGGTCAGTAAAGTTGTTTCAATAATAGCTACTTCAGAGGATTGTTACTCGTTTTGTCCTCCAGGTTCCTCGGAGTCAACAGAAAGTCTGAAAAGTCAGAGCACAAACAGCTCCAGCCAGCCTCTCCTGTGTCCCACGAGCAGCCTTCACCTGGAAGACGAGCATCTCACTCCCTGACTCTGGTCCAGAGAAGTTTCCCCTGCGGTCCATCACAGCAGAGAGTCTTTGTTCCTTTCACATCCCAGCCTAGTAAGTTCACCACACCAGGAGAGGACTGTGAAAAGTAGATGAGGAATTTGACTCATTTAAGCTACCACTGAAGTTTTTTTTATATATATATATACTGTATAGTTTCATTGCTTCTACAGATTAAAACATTTCATTACATCCTTAATAGTTAGATCTATTGTGTTGGATAAAATAATTGTGGTTAATTATTGTAAACCTAAGACATTTCACTACGAAAAAAACGTTCAGACCTGTTTCTACAGTCCGTACTGACTAACTGATCACGTGTTGACAACACGAACGGGTAAATTTTTTTTTGGCTTGTAACACCAGCAGCACAGGATGTGAACAACTGCTAAATTGTCCAGGGACAAACTCTAAATCTAAGTCTGAGGTTAACTGATTTTTCACTGATTAAATTGAACCGTTAAAAACACTAATGTTAATAAGCATGTTTTTCGTAAAGTTTCTCTTTTGCTAAAAGGATGAACCTGGTTCGACATAGAAGGGTGAAAAGGCTACGCCTCATTATAATGATTTCGTAACATTTAGGTGACAACCATTGAAACTGCAACTTTTCACGTCCACACTAAAAAAAATCTGGCACTATTAAGAAATGTTTCTCTAATTAAAGCCAAACATTTTTTTGTGCTGCAAATTCACAAACAATACTACAAAATATGTATGTCTTTCTATCCCCCCCCCCCCTCGCGGCTCTTTTTTTTCTTTTAACTTTGTCATCACGTCATCAGGTCACTCAGGACAGCAGGTCTGAACCGAAGCTATCTTTTCACTATGTTGCTTTCAAGCACACTTACTTTAATTTAACACAGTATTGATTAGCTAAGCCCATATGCTCACCTTGTCGTAAACAGGGACGCTAACGCCTCAGCGACGGCAGCCCGTGGCATGCTGGAAAAGAACATAAAGGTATCAGATCAATATCGGTATCGGGCATGAAAAAAAAGTCCTAGTTTATTTGCAGTGATTTTGCACTTCTTTATAATCCATTCCTTTGAAAAACCGATGTTGATAAGCTTCCTGTGCGATATCTGATGTATCATAACTGTACTAGGAACCTGTGTCGTGTCTCCAGAATTGCATAAAATGTAGAAAAATCTCCTGACAACGAGGCAGTGACGCTTTAGACTCCGTATAAATACGCATTATTTAGCACTGTCTCCATAAGTGCTGCAGAAGAATACATCTTACACTCTGAGCAGTGTGTGTTTGCTAACGCTAACGCAGTGCTAACGTACGGCACAGGTAGCCTTCGTCCCCCCCCCCCCCCCCCACCTCTGCGTCTGCTTCTAGCTTCAGAACCTAGTTTTCTGTGTGGCTGCACTGCCTTTAAATACTTACGTCTCTGTTTGTGTGGCCCCATGCATTTAGATGTGCCTTGAATTGATATGGCCTCTGCCTGCTTGTTGCATATTGGACATGACCGTAGCTTCTAATGCTAAGTGCTACAACACACACACACACACTTGCGCGTGCATACATTTTCAGCCCACAGACATGATATAGTTTTTTTTAAATATTACTTCTAGAAAAAATATACCTTGCCATGAGAAATATATAACATATACTTTTTAATTATTTACTATGTTAAGACCATTTATCACTTATGCATTTAATCTTTAGGTCAAAGTGGATTGTGGGTTTTTTTTTTTTCCATTTTCCACTGAGGAGAATAGCCAGTGCAATGAGATGTAATTTAAGGACTTAAACAACAATGTGCATGTGAATATGCTGACAGTAACACATCTCTCTGTGTGTGTGTCTAACATGGTTAGTTTGTGTTAAGGCCACTCACCCTCCTCCTCCTCTTTCGTCTTCTGGATTCCGTGCCATTTCACTCTGACACTGTGCCTTCCTGCTCTTCTTCTGACCACTGTTCACCTGGTATCCAGGATGAATCCACACTAGGTGGTTTGTGACTCTGTAAAATCATAAACAGTCCTTCCTTGTGTGTATAGAAGCATGTGTATTACAATAAAGGACAAAGACGCTGAACTTCAACCAACACTTACACGAGTCTGCGTTTGTTTTTTGTATACTGTAACAGCAACATACGGTAATAATTTAACTATATATAATGTAGTTTTTTATATATATATAAAACTACATTACGTTTGTACTATGGTACAACATTATTATCTCAGATACTGATAATACTACAACAAGGATCAGTAAAAGGAAGATGGAATTATTATACTATAGTTTTTTTTGTTTTCTTTTTTTCAAAAAGGACTTACTTGCTCTCAATAAGTCAAGAGCAATGAGGAAAAAAATCTGATTTGAAAGCCAGCCAATATATTTTCTAGTTTTTTCTATTGTAGAGCAAAATTAACCTGTAGTGTAACTATAAATCCACTTTCAACACTATAAAATTTGGATTTAAAAAAGCATCAAGGGGTGATTTTATGACACACTAGTGTTACATACCTTTATGAGAAGAAATCTCAAGAACGTCTCTGCAGAGGGCAGACTGCCTTCGATCCGGGATTCAGAGAGCTGAAGATGGAACAAGAGTGTAAGGTAATTAAAACAATACAATTATTAAATTAAATATGGTAGAATATAGTTTTAATTTTTTTTTTTTTTCATTAAAGGTGCCGCCAATCAAAGAAAAAGACGGATGCAGCAGAGGAGAGAACACTGGAGGACCGAAAGATCCTAATTGTAAGAAAGGAACTTTGGATATTCTTCACAGACTTTTAAGCCAAATGAGTGCATTTTCATTGATTTTGTGAGAAACCTTTTTTTTAAGACTTTCAGAATAAAAATAATCTTTTGATCAAAGGTTGACCTAATAAAATATTACATTTTTCTCTATGAGTTTTTTGAAAAACTTATTTTTGAACACTTTTTCAGGAAATTATCAGTTTAGTTTATTGCTGTTACCAATACTAGATGTACCCGAAAACATTTTTTTTTCAAATTTTTAAACATAAAATAGGCCATTGCTATGAGTTTTAAGGCGAACTAAATGCCTTAAAATGCAAGACTAGGTCCTAAAACATGCTGCCAGGTGAATATTTTGTGTTTAAATGTGCAAAAAGTATTTTTTATGAATATTTGAAAAATCACCTAAAACATGCCTTACTATAGCCTTACCTTCGTGAAAAAATACAAAAAAATAAAAAGTCCCCGAAATGCACTAAAATGCAAGATTAGGTCCTAAAACATGCTGTTAGTGAATATTTTGTGTTTAAATGTGCAAAAAGTATTTTTTATGAATATTTAAAAAATCACTCAAAACACGCCTTACTATAGCCTTACCTTCGTGAAAATATCCATAAAAATAAAAAGTCCCCGAAATGCACTAAAATGCAAGATTATGTCCTAAAACATCCTGCTAGGTGAATATTTTGTGTTTAAACATCCAAAAAGTATTTTTTATGAATATTTGAAAAATCACCTAAAACATGCCTTACTATAGCCTTACCATCATGAAAACATCCATAAAAATAAAAAGTCCCCAAAATGCCTTAAAATGCAAGATTAGGTCCTAAAACATGCTGTTAAGTGAATATTTTGTGTTTAAATGTGCAAAAAGTATTTTATATGAATATTTCAAAAATCACCCAAAACATGCCTTACTATAGCCTTACCATCATGAAAACATCCATAAAAATAAAAAGTCTCCAAAATGCAATAAAATGCAAGACTAGGTCCTAAACCATGCTGCCAGGTGAATATTTTGTGTTTAAATGTGCAAAAAGTATTTTATATGAATATTTGAAAAATCACCCAAACCATGCCTTACTATAGCCTTACCACCGTGAAAATATCCATAAAAATAAAAAGTCCCCAAAATGCCTTAAAATGCAAGATTATGTCCTAAAGCATGCTGCCTGTATGTATTATTTGAAAACGTCTGTGATTTAAATTACTGAACCATGTGCAGTATTTAAAGTCACTTTTTTTTTTACCAAGTAACATGCAGGTATCTCGCTTTCTACCTCCACAAAACAAACGAAAACTCTAATAACCAAGACGTGGGCAAACTTTTTGACTCGCGGGACACAATTGTCCTAAGATTGAATGGGGGGCCGGGTTAGGAGCAGATAGATGGAGAGTTCGGGAAACTCATGCATGAATGCTAAAATGCTTTTATCATTTTCTACACCATCTATTGGGGAAACATGGGTATTGCAGGGAAAAGGCAGAAGTATAATGAAAATATAAATAAATTATATAATTTGGAAAAGGTTGATGGGCTGGATTAGAAAGCTGAACGCGCCTCATCCGGCCCCCGGGCCTAAGTTTGCCCATGCCTGACATAAACCTAAACCTGAAAAGCACACACATTTTTCATTGTAACATATTTATCAATGCATTATCCTAATTCTTCCACAATTAACATAAGCAGATAAGGCAACAACAACATATGACCTGATGTCCATACCAACTCCTGTGAATTATATGACTTTCTGTGACCAAAACATTAAAATAAAAAAATGCTCCAGACTCACCAAACAAATTTTGCATCACAATCCAGCAGGTGGCAGGCCAACAGTCTTTCGCAGCACGAGGATAGCTCATTTCTGAAACACACACAGAAAAGCAATCAAATGTTAAAACCTAGGATATGACAAGATTCAATGGCCATGATTATACGTATATCCTGCATCGTTGTAGAGCTGTATACAGCTATGTGCAAAATGAACCTTGATCTGAAACTCTCTTGAAATTTTCTGCAGTCGGTTAACCGATATGAATGTTCATATTGCACTGCATTGTAAACACTGGTAACTTCTACTGCAGTAATTTCTATCCAACTCATTGTCATTTGGTTTTGCAGAAGGTTTTCTGTTGTTGTGTACTTGTTGTGAGACTCGTGCATCGTATCATTTCGTTAAATATTCATATAAATAACTTTTTGGA